CACTAGATTTTCTATCCTTCCCTTTTTTCCAAACTTTACATTACAGTTGCTTATAAAAATGTTTAATTCCTAATGTTCTTAAATCTTTATGGATGCGTGGGTTGTGTAGTGGATATCGGCGGAGAGTTCGTTATATATTGACTGACGCGGTAAGATCTTTAGAAAAGACATGGATCCATCTCTTCTCCTGTCCAGACGGATTGAATGAGCTCTCCAGCCACGGTTGGTAATCAGTCTAGGAGGACAATTCTGAATTCAAAACTTTAGGTGGCCCTGGACCCAAATATCGGCTACTCTTTTGGCAAAAGCATAGCACTCACCACATAAGCCAACACTGTTACGGTGAAGAGATCGGCAGCAGGATGTTGGATGTGGTTGTAGAAGTCAAATGACTTACCTGCTAACATGTCTGCCTTCTCGTGTCTTCTTGGAAAAGGAAGCCAGCTAATTTTACTTCATTTATAGGAGAGTGCCAATGAGCACTTGTTTTAATATGCTCCTTTCTATGTCTCGCATAAGTGCTTGCCTCACTGGTTCTTTTAAGTAGTATGGCACTGGTATAGGTCTGTGTTTAGCTTTAGGGAATGCCCCCTCCTTCAGGTGGATATGTGTGGGTCTACCAGACATGGCTGGGAATTGCCCGTCAGTCTTTAACGCTGAATTAGAAAATTGTTTCAGTAACCATTTTTTTCAGGTTCTCCAATTGTAAAATCTAAGACACCAGATTTGTGACATTGAACTGCAGTGCTGTCATTCAAAAAGATCCTTCCTACTGGAAAATTAAACAATAATTCGGGATGAGAGGCAGAATTGTTGCAAGTCAAAGGGAAACTGTGGGGACAGAGCGCTTTGTTTCTACTAATATAGGTGCAGCCGAAACCTCTATGATGGTCCATAAGGGTTCCCGATTGGCAGCCAATGAAGGACGGCTGAAAATTTAATAGGCTGGACAAGATATTGTCATGAAATGTGACCAAACCAGGTTTATTTTTTTAACATAGTCCTCCTTGATATTCACACATTCTCCCATCGGTGTTATAGTGCTTGCATCCAATTGGTGAAAAATCTTTCATCTTGTTTAAAAAAGTCAACAACAACAACAGCTATAACGCCATCCTCACTGTGATATTGGTTCCCAGCCAAATGTTTTTTTTCATGTTGGGGAACAGATGATAAGCGAATAGGGAGAACGATCAATGTTTGAAGCCACCTTCATTCACAGCAGCGATTGAAACCAAAGATTTCTGTGTTGGAACGTTGTCCTGATGAAACAAGCCCACTTTCGTCAGTTTTTCTGGGCTTTTGGCTTTGATAGTCATTCGTAACTGCCTCAGCAAGATGGGATAGTACTCTCCATTGATGGTGTGACCCTTTTGAACATAGTCAATAGACATCCCCCCAATTTACACCCCCCCAAAAGCTAAGGCCATCATCTTCCCTGCAGTTGAAACGACTTTCGCTTTATTTGGAGCAGGTGAGGAGGGGTGTTTCTACTGCATGGATTGTCTCTTAGTCTCTGGCTAAAAGTGAAGAACCCAACACTCATTCTGGGTTAGGAAATGTTCAACAAAAAGGGCCAGCTACCTGGCAGAAACCTTTGTCATGCCATGTCGATTGTACAGAATATTCTCAACTCTTTCACAGGATATGCTAATAGCATTGGCTGTTTAATTGTCTATCGCCTGTCATCCATCAATATGTGGTGAACATAATCAATGGTTTACTCAGTGGCGGCAGTTGCAGGACACCCAGACAGTGGGCCATCTCCAAGACCCGCCTTTCCTCTCCTAAATTAAACTTCCCACTTTTGCAATGTTCATGTCATCCCCTAATGTGTCAAACCCTTCCTGGGTATGACGATAAACTACATCCGCGTCCTGGGTAAGACGATAAACTACGTCCAGCAGCAAAGCCTCTGATCAGGAGGTTTTTAGGAGCGTGGAAACAGCTCTTAATTGCTGGTGTTCCCAGGTCTACCCTGACTCAGGGTGGTAGCACCTGTTAGGGTCCCAGCTATGGCCAAATAGTTGACCCCCATAACCTGACTCAAAAAACTATGAAAGTGTAAAAATAGATTTTAATACCAGAAATATTTAAAAAAAAAAAATAGTATCAGCAAAAAAAAAAAAAAAAAAATTGAGAAAAAGAAAATACTACCAAAAATAAAAATCTTGTCAGCATTAAATAACCCATTGTGGTTAATATGCCACAAAAAAAAACAAAAAAAACAAACAATACATTTTTAAAAAAAAATATTACCAGCTATACATTTTTGAAAAAGAAAAAAGGAAATTTTGTCGGCATTAAATAACCCATTGTGGTTGATATTCCGTAAAACAAACCAAACCAAACCTAATGTGTCAACTATATCCGCATGAATGTCTTTGGAGCTAAACTCTGGTACTCGATGAAACCACGATGCCAAATTTTGTTTATTTTCAAGAGAAGTCTCTACTAGTTACATTTTAAGTTTTCTATGAACAGTCAGAAGTCAGTTTTTCTGGAAAGAAACAATACAGTTATTAATAAGAATAGTTTAAATTAATGCATGCAAGATTTCACGGTTCTAGCATCACTCCTACATAGTCAGTCTATGAACTTTTCGTCTCACCCTCGTATATGACGAGAGCAATAATTATTGGATAAGATATAATACCGTTCAATACTTATCGATGTCAACTCCGAGTCTCGTAATTTTCTCAATCACTCTTTGGTACTTTCCATAACATATACGTACATATAAATCTTAAATCAATGAATATTTGGTGTATGAAATGTGTATAGAAATGCAACTATTTGAGTAAATGAAGATATGCTTATTTTTCTATCTCTTTCCATAGGTTCAGTCGACTTATTATGTTGATTTATAAATAATACTGACTTGCGATGTTTTCAAGGTCAAATATAAAATAGTTGATTTTAAGGAAGTTTGTTTTTGCGCTAAATCTAAAAATCATATTCATTTTTTCTAATCAGATAAGAATAGAAATTATGCTAATAAAGTTCTTACTGCAAGGGTGGGCTAAAAAGTTCATAAGCTGACTATAAAAGAGTGATGCTAGAACTGTGAAATCTTGCATGCTTTAATTTCAGCTCATCTTATTAATAACTGCATTATTTCTGCCCAGGTAAACTTACATCTGAATGTTTAAAGAAGACTGCTACTAAATAGTCATAATTTTTCTGCAGGTATTTAATAATAACACAATGCCAAATTTTCAAGAAAAGTCACTACTAGGTACTTTTAAAGTTTTCTTTGAAAAGTTAGATGTCAGTTATCCTGGAAATAAACAATGTAGTTATTTTATTTATTTTTTTTAAGCGTTTCACCCCAAGCAAGGCGGGAAGCCACTAGCACGCAATGGGTTACAGAGAGTTGGAGCTAGAGCAAAGAGAAGTGATAGAGGAAAGGATGAAGAGAAGGATAAGGGATAGATCAAGGCATCTGGAGACGCCGATTGACATTACATTTGAATAGTTGGAGATTATAGCTATCAGGAAAACAGGAAAAGGAGAGGGAGTTCCACAGGTGAGAGGTGCGAGACATGAAGCTATTGGAGTAGAAGAGACGGATACATTTAACAGTTTCGACAGTGAAAGGGTGAGAGCGAGATGCCAGCCTAGTAGAACGCTTAAATTCATGAAGTCTGGGAACCAGTGAAAGCAGCTAATCGGAGCAGTTACCATGAAAGTATTTGTAAAAAAGACAGAGAGAGGCGACGGCACGTCTGTGAGAGAGCGACTGCAGACGAGATGCCAGATCAGGGTCAATTACATTGCATATCCGTCTCTGGATTTTATCAAGAACCCTGAGACAAACAGAAGAAGCACCAGACCATATATGGCAGCAATAAGAAAAATAAGAAAAGTTTAAATTAATGAATGCATGATTTCACAGCTCTAGCATCACCCTTTCTTAGTCAGTCTGTGAACTTTTCAACACCCCCTCGTAGTTTGTTAAGATTACTGGCGTTAAACTCTTCAATTTCCAAAGAGATAATTGTGGTTGCTGCATGAGTGTCATTCTTTGCGTACAGTTCTAGCATAACTAATTCTGTTTGAGGCCTTGTACGTTCTAAGTGTAGAGGGTCGTATTCTTTATGAGTTTTGTTTAATACTGTTATTCACTCAATACAAGGCCAAAGAGTCACTCAAGGTAGATGGTAAATAAATGAGCTTATTGTAAGGGCGTACAATAAGGGTGTAAGAGGTGTATATTTTGAGGAAAAGCTAGTTAGAGAACAGTTAACACTCATCTTGAAGAGGTTAAGATCGTAGTGATCGGGGAAGGCTCCTCTCGGAAGTCTGTTCCACAATGCAACAGTTCTGGGGAAGAAGCTGTCTGTGTGAAACCTCCTCCTTACCAATGGAATATGAGGAGAATTAGCTGACTCAGTGTACGTGGTTTACCAGGTCCTAGCTGGGTTCTGAAAACCTTTCGACCCGAATAAGAATGACATCGAACCGTGAATTGTACGTACTTATTTCACATACCACCCGCGGGTATAACACACTTAGTAGAATGTTTCTAAGGTATGTTTAAACCTTCCAAAATCAATTATAAATTATTAGTCATTAAAACACTAATTTTGGAATATGCTTGGTGATTACCAGCATCAGTTTTCTTCATAGCCTCATCTTTGTGTTCCTTAGAGAGTCTCTTCCCCGTCGGTGGCACATTGTTCCCAAGCACGCCATAGAATCCAGTTCGACATTTGATAGATGATGAAAATGAGGTTACTAGTCGGGATATTTCGTGGAATAATTTTAAGGATGTAAATAAATTTTTGTGGATCCCGTGAAAAAAGGGTTTTCGCTAACTTAAAATCGACTTTCTTCCCAATCAACTTTAAAATTACTGATAATAGCGATCGAATATCGATGGTCTACAGTCGAAATTTACATGTGACTGCTCGGAAGGTTATTACAGCTGGTATTGTCCCAAAGCAGCAACGTTGTGTTTAAAGTGTGAAGATTCGCGAATTTATCAGCTAGCGCGTTTATCCTGGGGGTTTACCATTTTTATTGTCGGTAGGATCCATAAAAATGGTACGGCGCCTCACACAGTGTGGTTGAGTGAAATTTCGAGTGGGAAAGCAGGAGGAAAAAAAAAGGGAAAGAGAGAGAGAGAGAGAGAGAGAGAGAGAGAGAGAATTAAAAGGAGAGAGAGAGAGAATGAAAGCAACCAGTGGGCAGGTAGAATATAAACTACAATAGAGTTATGTCCCCTGCCGTTGCAATTAATTCATTTGAGTGAGTTTAATTAATGCTTGAAGACTTCAAATAAAGAGGCTTTGTTGTTGTATGAATGGATCGAATACTTTGCGACCTCAGAGGAAGCGGATCATAAAAGAGGAAGAAAGGAGAAGTACTAAAACAGGGGAGGTATGTGAAATGAGTAGGTGTGTGTGAGAGAGAGAGAGAAAAAGATAGAGAGGGAGGGAGAGAAAGATAGAAAAAAGAGAGGGGGAGAAGAAAAGAACGTGCGGTGGAAAGAAAAAAGCGGCAAGAAGGAAATAATGAGCATAAGGAAATAGAGAGTGAAAGAGAGGAAAAGTAGCTAAAACAGGAGAGGGAGAAAGAGAGAAGTAAAAAACCTTGCAATATAAAAGACAGTGAGTGAAAAGGGGGAATAAAGAGAGGAGAGGAGAGGAGAGGTGAGAGGAGAGAGGAGAGGAGAGAAACGGAATTAATGGAAGGGAGTGGGAGAAATAGAGAGAGTGAGAAATAATGAGCAAAAAGTATGAATAAGAAGAAAGAAAAAGTGTGAGGATAGGAAGCGAAAGAAAGGAAAAGTAGAAGAAAAGAAAAGAAAACAGATTGGAGAAAGACAGGGAGCGAGGATGAGAAAGAGAGGCACTAATGGAAAGTGAAATTAATCAAAAATGAGAGAAAGAGAGGCACTAATAAGTGTATGAGAGAGAGAGAGAGGGAGAGAGAGAGAGAGGGAGAAGTGAGAAAGAGGAAAGGCAAAGCAAACAATTTTGGATGCATAGAAAGAGAAAATGATATAAAATAAAAGACAGGGGAAGAAAATAGAAATGAAGGAGAGAAGTGAGAAGAAAAATGGAAAGGTGGGAGAAATTAATGAAAAAGCTAAAGAGAGAGAGAGAGAAAGAGAGAAAGAGAGAGAGAGCGAGAGAGAGAAAGAGAGTGAAAGAAAGAGATAGAGAATCAGAGAGAAAGAAAGAGAGAGAAAGAAAGAGACACAGAGAGTGAGAAAGAGAGAGAGAGAGGACAAAAACAGCAAACAATTTTGGATGCATATATCGAAGAAATAGATATAGAAGTGGCAAAAAATCTTCAAAACTCCATTTACTTGAAAAAAAAACTTTGTCCCCATAGCAAAGATCATGTCAGGGCGAGATTATCTTTTTAAGAATGTTTTTAAAAAATAAAACGAGGAAGCCATTTTCCCCCGTTCACACTTCCTTACACCACAGTTGACGACAAAAAGTCGCGAATTCTTTTTAAAAAGACCCACTCATTTTCGTCGGAATTGTAGCGATCAGAAAGTTTATCGGGATTGTTAGAGTGATCCAAAAAGAAAACACACTAAAAAGAATTCCACCACCACAGGACACATACAATCATGCAATCTAAGGTCATTCCGACTGTCCTACCACCTGTCGGAACACTCAGACAGGACAACTCCGGAACACTCATACAGTCCCTACCTGAGTCAGGACAACCTCGACCACCTGAGTCAGGACACTCATACAGTTCAGCCAACTGAGTCAGGACACTCCGGATGATGTTAGAGTCAGGACACACATAGTCCACAGTTCGGTCACCTGAGTCAAGACACAATCTAATAGTCCGGCAGTTCAGACAACTGAGCCAGGACACTCATACTGTCCGGCTAAGTGAGTCAGGACAATCATGCAATGACCAGAGTCAGGACACTCATACAGTTCAGCCGAGTCAGGACACTCATATAGTCCAGCTGAGTCAGGACACACATACAGTCCGGTCACCTGAGTCAGGACACTCATACAATCTAACCACCTGTGTCAGGACACTCATACAGTTCAGACAACTGAGCCAGGACACTCATACTGTCCGGCTAAGTGAGTCAGGACAATCATGCAATCTAACCAACTGAGTCAGGACACTCATACAGTTCCCACATAACGTGAATACATACATTAGGTTTACGTCTCCAGAATTTTCAACTGGTACAGTGCATTAAGCTCTATTCTACTTTTTTGGCAGTTGTGATTTGAAGCCCCATGTCTGAAAAGTCACATTTGGTTTAATGGAAGAAACGAACAAACGACATAATGGGAAATAAGACTGGGGATATTAATCTAAGCATGAGAACATTCTAACTTCGTTGACTGAATAAAGCATTCTGCTGAGTATGAAGACAGACAACTGAAGAGACTACAAGTCTCGAAACGTCGTGAGTGCAACACTTTAGCTGAGCATACTGGTTCCCATATTAAAACGTATACCAATCAACACATTAATATTAAAGCATATACCAATCTAGTCATTAATATTAAAACATTTAGCAATCTACTTATTAGGACATTAAAGCATGTAGTCAATTTACTAATTAATTTTAAAACAGGACACTCATACTGTCCGGCTGAGTCAGGTCTACAGTTCATTAATACACACAGTCCGGTCAAAAACATATACCAGTTCAGTCAACTCAGGACATTAATGTTAAAGCATATACCAGTCTACTCATTAATATTAAAACATATACCAGTCTACTCATACAGTTCAGACCTGAGCAGGACACTCATACTGTCCGGCTGATGAGTCAGACAATAATATTAAGTTAAAACATATACCAGTCTACTTATTAATATTAAAGCATGTACCAATTTACTAATTAATTTTAAAACATATACCAGTCTACTCATTAATATTAAAACATATACCAGTCTACTCATTAATATTAAAACATATACCAGTCTACTCATTAATATTAAAACATATACCAATCTACTCATTAATATTAAAACATATACCAGTCTACTCATTAATATTAAAACATATACCAGTCTACTCATTAATATTAAAACATATACCAATCTACTCATTAATATTAAAACATATACCAGTCTACTAATTAATATTAAAACATATACCAGTCTACTCATTAATATTAAAACATATACCAATCTACTCATTAATATTAAAACATATACCAGTCTACTAATTAATATTAAAACATATACCAATCTACTCATTAATATTAAAACATATACCAGTCTACTCATTAATATTAAAACATATACCAATCTACTCATTAATATTAAAGTGTTGTGCATTCCATGTTGAAATCCGGTACCAATAAATAACAAACGCCAGGAATAAAATATATGAAAATAATGTATTAACGTAATAATACAAACTGGTAAAGCAGGTTGAATGTATGAAAAGTTCCAGGAATACAGGTTGGTAGTTCCAGGAAATATATATATATATATATATATATATATATATATATATATATATATATATATAGTCTTTGGTATTGAAGTATCGTTGTATGATTTCTTACTGAGTCTACGTGCTCGCTCACTGTGACTCCTACAACGCTGTTACCTCACCCCTCACTCTTCCGGTTACCTACAACCTTTTACTCTGTTACTCTGGACTGGACTGGACTCGACTTGACTCCTCGGGTATTCACTGGCAGTAGTATAAGTATACACTGGTTGAGTCCATTTGTATAAAAACGGGTGGATCCCTCGACATAAAGCATATGCCAATTTATTCATTAATATTAAAGCCTATACTAATCTATTCATTTCCTTACTATGAATGCGTACACTGCCTAATTCTGTGATAAGAGGATTGAATGATATTTGTAAAATATTATACTGAAATCAGATTTATTTTTAGTTTGGTTGCAAAGGCAAAAAAAGTTTAAATTAAAAGAAAATTGTGTTGACCTAGAACGCAAACAGAATTTCCCCAAATGTACGCCAGAAGGAATCGCGATAATTTTAAAACTTCTGATGATCAATCGCGACTCTAAAGTGCGAAACAGAGGTTGATTGATTAATTGATTTGCTTTTTACGGTTTATCAACCCCTGGTGGATCGTTTAATGTCTAAATATAATTAAGATTGTAGGAGGCTGCTTGCAGTATACGGCGTTCCCAAGCGGTTTCCTATCTAAGTAATGACTGCTCTCAATACTGCATAACTTCGCTGATCTACAGAATGGGGGTTTACACAAAAGCAAATGGCGAGGAGAGAGACATCGCAGGGAATAAGAGCAGTAATAGACCCCAAGAATCATTAAAAGAAATAGATTATTTAAGAAACTATTCAAAGAAATAATTTGAGCTAATTAAAATGTTATTCAGAACAAGTTTATAAAGTCTTTTTGGGAACTGCAAAAAAAAAAAAAAATACAAAAAAGACGAAAGTTTTCTTTTTTATTAGCATCAGATAATTTTAGTTGAACTTAGTAATGGTTAGCAACTTATAAAAACTGGTATTTATTTCCTGCTTAATTCTTATTTAAAATTTGGGAAATGAGAACTTTTACTTTAAAATAAAGTTAACTCCAAAAATCTGAGCATCAATTCTTGTTTGAAATATCTTTAATTAATATCTCATGCTTATAATATCTTTATAATATAATATAATATTTTTTATTTAATATCTTTAATTAATATCTCATGCTTATATCTGTGAGATGAGGTATTATGATTACTTACGTGGAGAAAGACGTTGATTAGATCCAGTAACTAGACCCAAAGAGTTGTGAGTTCAATACCACGCCACAGCAGTGTTGAACCAAAATTGTAGAGTTGAGTTAAAGGGAAATAACTGAAACATCCGGAACAGCATGGCACGTGGAACTAGAACAATCTACACCGGTGGAGGAAATAAAATGTTCGGTTCGAAATTCCAATCACCTGAAGAAGAGCGGAGTGTACAACGGCCGAAACATTGTGAATATTGCAATGAAGATGAGGATAACAGTCCTTATAAGGTCCATTCGTAAAACCAAAAGAAAGAAACAAAAAAAGAACAATGTATGTGGGTTTCTTTTTAAATGTCTGTTATATAGGAATAAAATATCGCTACCGACACTTGAGTTTGAACATAGATCGCCAGTGAGCAAACACAGGCGATCCCTTTATTGAATTAAATGGGTCACGCGACAATAGGAGAAACGCATAAGTAGGAAGTCTCGTGACGTCTAAGCGATCGCTATTTCTTGTCTATCCTCTTTTACTATACGGACCGCTATTCTCTACTCTATTCACTATACCAGTTTTCTTATCGGGTCACTATACGGATTACAATTCATGAGAGTATTATCAAGCAAGTACTGTTAGCGCTAGTGATATTCGAAGGCGTCTGACACCAGTATTGTTCAACGGCGTTACTATAGTTGTATCTGAGATTACAAAGTCTCTACTACGACGAGCATTACGAAAGTGACAACGAGTATTCGTTGACATCACAAAAGTGTCAACGAGTGTTCGTTGACGTCACAAAAATGCCCATGAAGGACGTAGGTGGCCATGGTTTTTCAAGGATTCCCTTTATTAATTATCTGTGATTTGACACGACTTCCTGTAAAGACAGTGGATTAGTTTCTTGATGGCTTCTCCACTCTTTTGAATTCAGAGTTGTCTTTCTCCTATATTGGTTTCCAACCAAAGCCACCATGTCTTCTCTGCTATTTAACCCATAGCTCGATAGAGAAGATATGAATACTTGCCTTTCACAACGGTATTTGTGCGAAAGTGAACGCAACAAACAAGGCCAGAATTTGATTTCGATTCGCCGATTTCACTGTGTGTGCCGATAGCAGTCGCACTAGCAACGCATATACTTTATATGAATAGCATCGATTATAATAAGAATATATTGGTACATTTTTATATTATTTTATATCTAATAAAATATTTTTTATTATCTTGTAACGTTGTTATTGAATCGGCTTGATCAATAGAGCAAATTTCATACAAAGTAGATTTATAGGCCAGCTAAAGAGCTTCGAAAACACTAGTTATAGTTTGCTAGCTGAGTTGGCTCACCATTACAACAGCAAGCTTATCGTGATTGTTAGAGTGATTCAGAATGAAAGCACATTTAAAAGAATTCCACCACCACCACGGTCAGGTCATTTCGATTGTCCTACCACCTGCCTCGGGACAATGATACACATCGACTATCTGAGTCAGGATACTAATACAGTTCAGTCATCTGAGTCAAAACACTCATATAGTCCAGCTACGTGAGTCAGGACGCACATACAGTCCAGGTACCTGAGTCAG